ACTAGACTAGTCTCCTAGCAGAGGGAAGGGTAAAACCATCCCAGCACAGAAAAGTCAACCCAAAATTTTCCTTGCCTACACGATGTGCAGAGATTGATGGAATACCCAGCCAATGCCTGGCCCAACCAAAGACCGACCCTATGGGAGAGTGCCAAACCCTGATGACGTGAATAATAATCTGCTAAGCTAACAGACAGGAACCTGACAGAGTTGTCTTCTGAGAGTCTCTGCCCAGCAGCTCCTCAAAATAGATGCTGAGATTGACAGTCAAACATTAGATGATGCTTAGGGCATCTTGTGAAAAAGTAGGAAATAGAGAAAAGGACCTGGAGTTGACAGTAATTCCGCAAGAAGACCAACAGAGCCCACTAGCCAGAACCCAGAAGGGCTTGTTGAAACGGACACATCAACCAAGGACCAGGCAGGAACTAGATCTAGGCCCCCTACAAAGATGGAGCAGATGGACAGTTTAGGCTTTATGTGAGCCTAAAAAAGGGAAGTAGGGACTGCATTGGAAACAGGCTCACTTTCCGACTTCTTTGACTTTCCCCTAGCAAGACTGCCTTGCGAAGCCACAGTGAAAGAGGACATGCCCAATCTTGATGCAACTTGATGAGCAGGGCTGGACGGGAAAGGGAGTGTCCCGTTTGCTGAGAAAAAGGGAAGGGGGAAGCAGAAAGAGGAAGAGTGGGACTGGGAGAGGAGGAAGGATGGCGCTACAACAAGGATGTAAAATGAATAAAAGAATTAAAAAAGAGAAAATGGGATATACATAAATATACATACATATACGTATATGAATATATATACATATACATATATATATATATACATATATATATATATATATGAAACAATGCAACCAAGAATCATGCATTAAGACATAAATCATTATAATAAAATAGCAACTAGGCTAACAAACAAGACATTTTGTTGCAGGATTTTTATGTGTAGAAAAAAAAAATTAAACCCTATTTTGAAGCATAAAATTTCCAGTAATTATAAATGAAATTATACAAGTGTTTTGAGGCTGTGTAGGAGTATATTTGAGCGTCAGTGGTGAACAGAGGGAGTGTGCTCATTCACACTGTTCTTACTACATACCCTGGAATCTTGGGGAGATAGAAGTCTTTATAAACTTCAGATTTTATGGTTTCATATGATGATATTGTCATTAAACTAAACAAAATACATCACACAGAACTTTCATATTGAAAACAGTAAATGACTCTGTTGGAGACCAACAGAGCCAAAATATCTGGGCCCAGGGGTCCTGCAGAGATTGCTCAATCAACCAGTCATGAAGAGGACCTAGACCCCCTGCTCAGATGTAGCCCATAGGCAGCTCGGTCTCCATGGGTGTGTCCTAGTAAGGGGAACAAGGGCAGTCTCTGGCGTTAACTCACCCAATCAAAGAGTGCCTGCTCTTTGATCACCTCTTTCTGGCAGGGTAGCCATACTAAGCCACAAAGAAAGAAGATCCAGATAGTCTTGGTGAAAGCTGGTAGGCTACAGTCAGATAGTAGCAGAGGAGAACCTCCCCTATCAGTGAAATAGGGGAGGGACATGGGGGGAGAGATAGGGAGGGTGGGACTAGGAGGAGCTGAGGAAGGGGGCTACAGCGGGATTCAAAGTGAATAAATTGTAAATAATAATAATAATAAATTTAAAAGTTAATTATATTTAATTAATACTGAATAAATTTCCAAGCACAAGTTTTATTTTGTTCCAAGGCATCTAGAAGTTGTTGTATAAAATACAAGAACATTAAAAAAAACAGTCATCCATTTGTCGAGATTTTTTCTTTGCAATGTGGTCTTTCAAGAACATTCTCTGTCAGGTGGGAGCAATGTTGAAGAAAATCAATCCCTTGCCAGATTTTTATTTCTCCCTCTCATAGGAAAACATCAAAATTGAGCTAATAAACTTTGACTGAAACATGACATAAAGTATAGCTACATTCTGTGATGTGGAATATTGTGGAGTTTAATTTATATGAAGTTGTCCACTATTTTAGTGGGGTGCAAAACAAAAATTGAATACTTTCAAAATATGACATCAGGAACAAAATACCTAAAGTAAGTTGTGAAAATTGTACTTAGCAAAATGTAATGTTAATAAAACTCAATTCAACCAACTAATGCCCAAAGCTAAAATCATAAGAGTAATTATGATATTAAAATAAATAATTTGAATTTTAATAAAAATTTCTAGTGTTGGTTGGCGAAATTGCTGAACAGGTAAAAGCACAATTATCAAGACTGTTGACCTGTAATTGATTTCAAGATTCCACGTGATGGAAGAAGATAACTGACTCCTGAAATTTGTCCTCTGACATCCACACGTATACATGGTATGCAGATTCCCAAGAGCATGCACACACATGTGTACACAAAAACACACACACAAGTTTAGTGAATGTTAAAAAATTAAAATTTATTTTTCCTAAAATGTTATAAATTTATTTTTTCTCAAAGGTTATAAATTTGGGCCATTTATAGGAACAAAATTTTGTTTTGTTTTCTAAGAGAACACAAATCATAAGGCCAGTGATCTTCCAATTATGAAGTATTCTCAATTTGTAGAGTTTCTGGATTAAGGAGGGGTATGTTAACGAATGTTTGACATTAATTCTTTCAATGTAGAGTCTGCGATTGCATAAACAGTAGGATGACCATTCTTCAGCTCTAACACATTTGTTTCTGAATAATATAGTATATAGACAGGATTTATTTGTTAATTAATTAATTTATTTATTTATTCTTTTTTATTATTAATTACACTTTATTCACTTTGTATCTCCCCATAAGCCCCTCCCTCCTCCCCTCCCGATCCCACCTTCTCTCCCCCTTTTTCACTCATGCCCCTCCCCAAGTCCACTGATAGGGGAGGTCCTCGATCTCATCAGGAGTGGCTGCATTGTCTTCCTCTGTGGCCTGGTAAGGCTGCTCCCCCTTCAGGGGGAGGTGATCAAAGAGCAAGCCAATCAGTTCATGTCAGAGGCAGTCCCTCTTCCCATTACTAGGTAACCCACTTGGACACTGACCTGCCATGGGCTACATTTGTGCAGGGGTTCTAGGTTATCTCCATGAATAATCCTTGGTGGGAGTATGAGTCTTTGGGAAGTTCCCTGTGTTCAAATTTTCTTGTTCTGTTGTTCTCCTTGTGGAGTTCCTGTCCTCTCCAGCTCTTGCTATTTCCCACTTCTTACATAAGATTCCATTCACTCTGCCCAACAGTTGTCCATCAGGCTCAGCATCTGCTTTGATAGTCTGCAGGGCAGAGCCTTTCAGAGGCCCTCTGTGGCAGGTTCCTAGCTTGTTTCCTTCTTCTTCTGATTAGACAGGATTTATTATGAGTGGATAATGGTTGAAAATATCAGCCTGGTTCCATGAAGTAGTAACTCTACAGTGAACCTCAGATGAGGAACGGAGGAATGGTCAGGAAGTCAGAGCTTTATCTGCACAGACAGTTGGTCTGATGGCTTCTGTGTTTATGCACGTTTTAAACTGCCCTTTCTTGTTTCTGGTCTTCAAATATTCTACTTCTGAAATGGTTGGTACATCCAATCTTCTGCTTCTTTTTTTTTTTAACTGAACAATAGTATTTTTAACTGATCACAGTATATATCTTCAGTTCTCCATTCATTTTGCGAAACTGTTGTGCCAGAGACGGGATTCCAGTTTTTAACAACATTTTGGACTAAAACGGAACTGCCAGACACAATTTTCCTCCAAACAAAGACAGTTAAGCATCTTTATTCAGAAGTTGACTGTGAAGTTTCTTAAGCACTGTTCCTTAACCTCAATTGATGAATTCCTTGATGTAGGAAAAAGATAAATAGAAATAAAAAAAATGAAAACACAACTGGATGATATATAACCCTGATAGCATTAAGGTCAGAATCAATTTCGTTCATACAATAGTTCTTAGTATGGATTTGAGAGCTCAGTCTAAAGGAAGCTTATAGCCTAAACTCTGTCCTGAGTATTTTCTAATATTAAAGGAAAAAGATGTAATACATGAGCTGGTGGATTGGAAATGAGAGCCATGCTGAAGCCGAAGGAGATAGCTGGTTCTCTAGGCAAGAAGCTTAAAAGGTCAGTGAGGGCAGACAGAAGAAAGTTATTCTTACCGTTTAGGAAGAAAAAATAGTCTATGATACACGTATGAATCGGTGACTCAGTTTACTGATGAATGTGGCGGACATGGGAGGCCTGACCGGCTGTAAGTGAAGAATGCAAGAGTGTTCAGAGCCTGAGAAACATGGGACATTCAGTAAGCACCTCGGTAAGCCATCCTAAGCTATCAGGACTTAAATTTTAAGGCAAACACATAAGGAATGAGCAGAAACAGATGCAAGGAACACGGGCTAGGAGTATGAACATTAGGGAGTTGCCTGAACTGCAGAGGCAGGCCCATGTCCACCTTATAAACACTCAGTGGCCAGTCCTTCCCAAATTCACACATTTGTCACTGGGAGCAACCAAATCAACCAGAGTTTATTTTTTTGGAGGGGTGATACAGAGCCATAGAGCATCTGGAAAAAACGAATAGATAATGTTTTCTAGGGTCTTCAATTAAATGACTGTAATTTCCTTGATTTATCTCTCGTAAAAGTAACTGTAAATTTACCTCTTTCCTGAGTTCATGTTGAATAATATGTACTTTTTTTCTTTATTTTATTTTGTTTGTTTCCTCATCATATCTGTTTTTGTTTGTTTGCTTTTGCGAAAAGCAAAATCATTTCTTTATTCCAGGAGAAACTGCCAAAGAACCAAGGGTGCTTTTTCAGACTTAATTTAAAACAAATAAAATAAAATGTTTTTGTGGATCTCTTCTCCTCATGTTTTTTTATATGACTTATTTCAGTGGTGTGTATATGAAGGAATACATATTTCTTGTGGTGAATTAGGTTTTATGGGTTTTGTGAATTTCCTCTTTGCATTCTGAGTTTCCTTTTTGTTTTGCTTCACATCTTTCTGTTTTGTCTTGTACAGTGGGAGGAGATTGGTGAAGTGGACGAAAACTATGCCCCTATCCACACATACCAAGTATGCAGAGTCATGGAACAGAATCAGAATAATTGGCTGTTGACAAGTTGGATCTCCAATGAAGGTGCTTCCAGAATCTTTATTGAACTCAAGTTTACTCTAAGGGATTGCAACAGCCTTCCCGGAGGACTGGGAACTTGTAAGGAGACATTTAACATGTATTATTTTGAATCGAATGACGAGAATGGGAGAAATATTAAAGAGAACCAGTACATCAAGATTGATACCATTGCTGCTGATGAGAGCTTCACAGAACTTGATCTCGGCGACCGTGTCATGAAACTGAACACGGAGGTCAGAGATGTGGGACCTCTGAGCAAAAAGGGATTTTATCTTGCTTTCCAAGATGTTGGTGCTTGCATAGCTCTGGTGTCCGTGCGGGTATACTATAAAAAATGTCCTTCTGTGGTAAGACACTTGGCTATCTTCCCTGACACAATCACTGGAGCGGATTCTTCACAGTTGTTAGAGGTGTCAGGCTCCTGTGTCAACCATTCTGTGACAGATGATCCTCCCAAAATGCACTGCAGTGCTGAAGGGGAGTGGCTGGTTCCCATCGGGAAATGCATGTGCAAAGCTGGATATGAAGAGAAAAATGGCACCTGTCAAGGTAAGCCTTTGCCTGTGGATTTGTGAGGACTTTGTTCTTTTCTTGGATCATGCATATATGTATTTCCTACATATATGCATTACAACCAGTGACCTTTTACTTTGTTAATTTATCGAGATTATTTCCCTTCAAGTTTGATTTCTTCTCTGAATTTCAAAATTTCCAAGCAACAGTGAAAGATTTAATGCATGATTTTACTGGATATACATAATTAATGCTCAGAGAGTGTCTGACTTTTCTCATGATGTTTTATATTAACATCATTCTCAGAAGTTTTCTTTTGAAGGCCATGACCAATTGCCTGCGATCATCCACTGTAGCATTGCTGTCTGTACCACAGAGGTTTGCATTCATGAAGTTGTTTTCTATCCTTGTTTTTCTGTACAGAGTTTAAAAAAAAAATTAAAGGAGACTTCTCCTAGCATGCTTTAAACTGCCATTTAAATTTTTTTTAGAAGTAGGTTCAGCCATATGAACATCTCTGGAAAACATTTGTCATCTCGCAGGACTTAGCTTACTATGTTGTTCACATATGGCTGCAATTATGTTTGATGTTCACAATTTATAGACCTATTTTAAATGCATAATAACCAATGCCCCATAAAAAAGGAGTGTATAGAGACAGAACCAATACAGAAAGGTCATTTCAAAGCAATTTGCACTTGGAGATTTGTTTGTTTGTTTGTTTGTTTGTTTTAATTTTTCTTTTAAATTAAAACTTGATCATGCATGGTTCCTCATTCATTTGAAAATGCTCTCACTTTGCCTACAGTGTGGTAAGTTGCCCTTTCAGACTTGGATATTTATCAATGGCTTTTTGAAATCAGATAGTGTTTCATGCCAAAGTAGAGAATGGTGTATGAGGGAGAACACTTTTTTCCCCTTTGAAAATGTGTGCTCTTATGAAATCATAATTTTAAGTAGACAACAAGGCGTTTGTGTGCATTGACTGAAGAGAAAACCCAATACTGGGCATACCCTCAGTGTACCTTCTGATAGCGTCATAACTGTTCTTACTGCCTAAGACATTTTTATATGTACTAAACTGCCTAGCTTGCTCAAACATCATTTACCTGTTAATCATTATGAGGCTGGCTTATTAATTCTCCCCAAAACTCTTACATATACTAAAGTTTCCTTTTTCAGTATCAGCTCCTAATTTAGGGCTTTTTAATATTGTTTTTTTTTAATTAATTCTGTAGTTATTTTCCAATGTAAACTATTTTGATATATATGCACATACACTCAAGAATGTTGTCAATGAACTCAGTAGCTGGCTCTTTGATCACCTCCCCCTAGGCGGGGAGCCAACTTACAAAGCCATAGAGAAAGACAGTGCAGCCAGTCCTGATGAGACCTTATAGGCTAGGGTCAGATGGAAGGGGAGGAGGACCTCCCCTTTCAGTAGACTGAGGAAGGGGCATGGGAGGAGAAGAGGGAAGGAGGGTCAGATTGAGATGAGATGAGGGTGGGGCTCTAGCTGGGATACAAAATGAATAAATTGTAATAATTAAAAAATAAAAATTTTTTAACAAGAAAAATGTTGTCAAATGGACATTGTGCTTCTAAATGTTTCTAAGTTTGTTGGTGAAATGAATCATAGTTCATTTGATTGGATTTATTTTAAAGGTTTAATACCTTTTAATTTATTAACAATTACATTAGTTTATGGTGAGATCATATATAATTTCTTGATAATATACCAATTAAATTAATGTTGACTGTAGCATTTTATAACCTATCATAAATATACAGTTTACTAATAATTCCCTAAATTTATTTATTGTCATTTTAAAGCAACAATCTAGACTGATCAATTACGTTATTTTAGAACACAGATGGAGCCAAAACTAGACCACTATAAAATTTGTTCTCATTCTGATTAACACAGAGTAGAGGAAGCCCTTGCGTCACATTCTCTTGGTACTTATAATTGAAATTGTACTATCTTAAGGGAATGGTGCTTCTGTCTGAATGTTTGCTGAGGACTTAACACCACTTCCTTTTTCCTGCTCGTACTCTACATGATTGAGTAGAGACCACAATGAGTTACAGCAGATGAACTGGAAAGCCGTGTTTTAAAACCATATCTTTAAACTGCTCCATGTTGCTATGGCCTAGTGTTTGAACACTGGCTGCTCTTCCGGAGGACCCGAGTTCTACTATCAGGACTATGTGGCAGCTGGCAATTATTTGTAATTTCAGTTGCAGAAAATCAGACATTGTTGTCCAAGACTGAATGTGGTGCACAGAAATAATACAAGCAAAACACCCATACTGAAAATTGATAATTTTAAAATATAAACGAACGCATCTAAATTCTTGAGGTTTCCTCACGTCTGTGTCAGTGGAGCAATGCCTTCTGGGTTTGTAGTATGGCTAAGTGTACAAGCCAGTATAGTCTATACAGAGACATCTATCTTAATAATGCCTCTTCTCTTTTAAACATTTTCAATTATTTTATTAATTTGTTGCCTTTGAACCATGTCTATGAGCCATCGACATGTCTATGAATGTATGTCTATGAACTGTGAACATGCCTGGTACCCCAAGAGAAAGAAGAGAGCATCAGGTATTACAACTGTAATTTCGGAGCATTGTGAGCTGCTGTGAAGAGGCTGGGAATAGAACTTATGTCCTCTGCAAAAAAATGGCTCTTATTGGCTGACATGTTTCTCTTTCCCCAGCCTATTGTCTTTAAGAGTGTAATTTTATAAATAACCCATCTCACTGAGTAACTAACATAACAAAATATTTACTTTGCTTCGGTTATTTAAAAGCTCTCACACGTTCTGAAGAAATTTATATGGACAACAAGTGTGTGAAGGAATGACATGAATGAAATTAAATGACATAAAGTACACTAGGACTTTCATTATTCGATTGTAACCTCTGCCCTAAACTATTAAGTTGATGTTTAGGAATACTTTTATTAGGCCATAAGTGTAGGACTGATTCAGACATTTTCTTTCTAAATGTCTTTCTTGCCCAAACCAACACAACATGTTCATAGAAATTGCAACTCAAATCTCTATCTCCCCAAATCAGGCACTCTCTCCTAGTTCCTTCTCTAATCTAAAATTAGGTCTTATTGGAACTTTGTTTTACTATATAATGGATGGCTTTATGCATAGGTTTCATTCTTTTTTTTTCTCATTTTTTTAAAATTTTTTTATTAATTACACTTTATTCATTTTGTATCCCCCCATAAGTCCCTCCCTCCTTCCCTCCCGATCCCACCCTCCCTCCCCTTTATGCATGCATGCCACTCCCCAAGTCCACTGATAGGGGAGGTTCTCCTCTCCTTTCTGATCTTAGTCTATCAGGTCTCATCAAAATTGGTTGCATTGTCCTCTACCGTGGCCTGGTAAGGCTGCTCCCCCCTCAGGGGGAGGTGATCAAAGAGCAGGCCAATCAGATTATGTCAGAGGCAGTCCCTCTATAGGTTTCATTCTTAAGCATGTGGATATAGCATCTATAGAGAAATGCCAAGATTACTGTTTTGCACACACTTTTTCCTCTTGTACACTTACAGTTGAGTAGCGACCTTAATGATGTTTTTTTAATTTAATTTTTTTCTTATCAGTTACGTTTTATTAACTCTGTATCCCAGCTGTATCCCGCTCCCTCATTCCCTCCCAATCCCACCCTCCCTCCCTCATCATCACTGTGCCCCTTTCCAAGTCCACTGATGGGGGGGGGGAAACCTCCTCCCCATTCATCTGATCCTGTTTTATCAGGTATCTTCAGGACTGGCTGCAAAGTCCTCCTCTGTGGCCTGATAGGACTGCTCCTCCCTTAGGGGGTGGGGAGGTCAAAGATTTTTTTTTTTTTTAACCTTAAGATCCTGTCTCTGGGTTACATGCTGGGATGAAACATCATGACACAAAGAACCCATCCTTGGGAAGGAAAAGACATATTTGGTTTATGCTTTCACATCACTGTTTATCATGGAAGGAAGTCAGGACAGGAACTCAAGTAGGCAGGATCATGGAGGGAGGAGCCAATATGGAGGTCATGAAGAAGTGCTGCTTATTGGCTTAGTTTTCATGGCTCACTCAGCATGCTCCTTTATAGAAACCAGACTACCAACCACAACAGGCTGCGCTCCCAGCCATGGATCACTAATGTAAAAGATGACCAACATTGTTGTCCAATCACAGCATGGTCTGTTCGAGGTTTTTTCACAGTTAAGGTTCCCTCCTCTCATATTACTCTCTTGTATAATGTTGTCCTAAAGCAAACACAGACCAGGAATATGTTTGTCCTTATTTTGGTCTCTGTTCTTTGTGTTCTTCTCTATATGCTAAGCATGAAATCTTTGTTCAGTTTCTCAAAAACTTTTTTTTTTCATTGCATTACTTGTTTTTTTTATAAATCTTCCCTTACCCCCTTGAATAGTCATCTGTCTTCATCATTCCTGGTTATTTCTGACTCAGCTGTCTGATCTGCATATCAGTTCCCTTTCTTGAGGGAGGCTTTAACTGTTCAACAGTAAGTCAACCCTCATTCTCATTAAACCACACCCTGCGATTTCACAGGATCATTTAGACTTAAAAGGGTTTTCCTAGTTTATAATTTTTTATTTGATTAATGATTCTTTGATTAACAATTCATTCTACTTCCATTTCACTATTCACTTCTGATGGCAGGAGTGGTGCATATTTGAATTAAAATGTTAAGAAAGAAATTAGAAACAAAGAGGAAAGAGTAAATTCAACAAAGAGAGAAGAGAATGTAAAAATACATGCAAAATACAGTTTTGTTAATTTTTTTTTTTTTTTGCAATTCTATTCACATACAGAAAAATTTCATGTTCTGCCTGGAAATTATTTCTAAAAATCTTCTAAAAATAATGATGTCTTAGCCAAAGACTCTGAGGACAAAATCTAAATATCCAGGTATAAGTCATTTTTGTGCTATGAAATGATTGACATTTCATGGATTCACTCTTGTGGACACCACCTTAGTCAATTTTGTCAAAGTACAAAATGGTCTAT